GATTTAAATGGTGATGCTTGAGCCGTCTACTCCAAGCCCCAGGCCCCAAACGGATGGGCAAACCGTTGATAGCTATTAGGGGGTTCGAACAAATCTGAGTGTTGTCACATTGTGGATTGCTCTCTCCCTTGGCTCCCCGAAAAGAAGGTTCTCCTGACACAGCCAAGTGGAAAAGGATGGTTCTCAAAGCAAAAGCTGGAAGGCAAAGGCAAAAGTGAACCAAGTGGTGAACCAAAAGGAAGGCAACAGAGAAAAGCAAAGCGCACCAACACAAAGAAAGGATGCCACCTTTTCACATGAGCCACCGTCAAAACATATTGTCTTCGTCAAGGAGGTGATTTGTGTAGCTCTCGTTGAGGTCCCTATCGCTTTACAGCGTTCTGCGCTTATCGTTTCTGGTGGCGGTCTCGTTTTACGAGGCTTTCTGCAAATGACCGTGACATGTTAAGCACATGTTGAGTTGGAAGCTCCCGAAAGTTTCCCCCTCCCCGAGCTCACGGGTCCCGCCTCGGGTCACGAAGAGGTTGCTGTGAGACCTGCGGATGTGCTCCAGGCCCTGGCAGGGTGAAGCCCGAGGTCAGACATGATCGCCAAGAAACCTCCGGTGGACTGATTGGGGGCCATGGAAAGCTTTCAATTACAGATTCTGATGAATGAACCTCTGGCTGGCGAGTCGGAATAGGGCGGAATCCTCTTTGATTTTTGGGGCCAACGTTAATATGTCGCTGTAGTCTTGCAACATGCTGAACCGTATTGATTCTGATGAACAACTGGTTGAGTTTGCTCAGTCTCCCTTTGGAGGGATTGGATCACTGTTTGGGGGTAAAGCACCTAACCAAACGTCAAGTGCGTTGGGCTTCCCTTTGAAGGGCAGAGTCTGCTTGAAAGCACTGGGTCTAGGCTTCTCTCTTCAATGCAGGCTGAACCACGGCAACAGAAATCCGCGTGGGTCAGCCACATTGCAGCTGAAACACTCCAAGTGGGTTCAACAACCAACCGCTAGGAGGAAACTTGGGCTGATCTTTGAGCCCCTAGAAACAATAGGTGGGGAAAACCGGTGTATTCCACCAGAGGTCCAAAGCGCCGAGGCAACAGCCTTGCGACCCAAGCAGGTCCTAACGACCCTCCCCAAAAAAAGAAACGGTGAGAAAGGGCACGTAGCTGGGACCCCTAGTAGATGAAAGGTCGGTAACTGGAAAGGGGCCCTAGACGCACGATGCCCATCTCCCGCCTGGGGCAGCCACGCGCAGAAGCTCTGCAGCTCGTCGTCCTCGATGCCCATCTCGCCTCGACTCGGACTCGGCAGACTCGGCTCATGGGATCCGATCCGAAGATCGGCGAAGAGGAGTCCGGTTTTTGTCCAGGGATCCTTACATTTTTCACCTGAACATTGCCTGGTAAATGTTGGTTTCCCTGTAACGCCATGTTTCAAATGGGAAAAACTGTATCTTTAAAAAAGAGCTCTGTTTTAACGGCTTCTTCTTGGCACTGAAAGCCACTGTGGGTGTTATGGGTGTGCCCCAAAAAGCGCCTCTGTCCAAACGAAAACTGCCAATAGCGGCGGAAATCTCCGTGGCTCCACCCGCCCGGTCTCGGTGTGGTGGTCTCATTTTGAACCTCATGGACATGTGAGTCTTTGTGCCCCCGGCTTTTGTGTTCTTGAATCTTGTGGCTTCTCCCCAAGTCCTCCCCCCACCCCACCCCACCCCCAACAAAAAGAGAAGAAAAAAAAACATATGGTGTTCAAATGTCATTTCCTTCATGTCCAATTGTCCAAAAGTCAGGGACCCAAATCCACTTTTTGGATGGTGCTTCGGGAAACCTCCCATGGGAGACCGACCCATGGGACTGAACTGATGCTTGCCGAGCTGCGCAAGATGATAACCAGCAGCCCGTCCTCCGGCATGTGGTTTTCGGCTCTCAAGAATCCAACGGGGAACTCAAGGAGGGAACTAAGCGACAACCGCAAGGACGCCAACAGAAATCAACAAACAAAAGCAAGTCAAAAGGATATCAACAGGAAACTAGTCTCAGGATCAACAAACAAAAAGCAAGTCAAAAGGATATGAAGAGGAAACTGGTTTCAGGGGGAAGATTCCAATTGGGCGGGCTCGGTGTGATATGTTTACTTTCTCTTTCCGGCCACTCCTCCCAAACAGGAAACCCTTTTTAAGACGCTAGTAGTCGTCCAAAACCCTCTTGTACACTTCCCTGATTGTGAGACAAAAATAAATAAATAACTCTTCTAAAAACATGCCCATCAAACAACGGAAACCGCTGTCTCCAGCGGTTTTAAGAAAAAGAGAACCCCCGCCCGGCCTCGCCGACCCGCACCGTCTTTGACCAACTACTCCAATCGTTGCGCCAGTCGCCGGCGCCCCTGTCGTCCCTGTCCCTGTCCCTGGGCCAGCCGAGAAGTCGGGTGGGGGAGACTTGGTTGACTTTGGAAGGGGAGCAAAAATTCAAATCTTAGCAGTTAAGTGCGGATTTCCCACTAAACCACAATAAGCAACAATGTCAAATGTTTCCCAACGATATGGGGTTTGCATCATGGCCCGGAACGCTTGCCAACAGCAACCGGGCTTCAAATCTTGCAAATCTCCCGAGCTGCTCTGCTTAGATGTTTTCTCCGGCCTTCAAAGCTCCCTCTTGCCGTTCAGAGGATGCCATCAACTAGCACACTGCCGCTGCCAAGCTGACCGTGCCGCCCGCCTGGTGGTCCACTTTTGATCTTTCCACTTCTCCTGCTCCCTCCACTTCTCTTGCCTCGCTTGGGGTTGCTGGCCCAATCAGCGCAAAACCTTAGCAATTTTTGGAACGTGCTTGGACATCGGGGCTTTCCAAGCGCCAGCAACATCATCTCACATGATCTTACCTTGAACCAAATTGCGCGAAGCCCCATTCGCAAAGGGCTCATCACCAAACATTGCGAGAGTTGAGGGAACACCCTGTGAAGTGGCTCCAAAAAGCTTCACTGCTCCATCTGACCACGCCTCCACTTCCGGGGCTCGGAGCCTGGCACGTACGCCGCACAGACGTAACAACCGGATCAGCCCAACTTGGTAGCTCGCAGACGGTTTCTGTGACGGTTGTAGTCGCTGAAAGGGTTCTCCATGTCGTTCTTCTGCTCTTCTGTGTGTGTGCGTGTGTCTCCGGTCAGCTTGCAAGTTCGGCACCTGTGGTTTATGCTGACCTCCAGCGCCGGCATTGCCGGTCGGCTCCGTTTCCGCATCTTGGCACTGAGGCACCTTGTCACTTGCAGCAAGTGTGAAGCGCGCCTATTACAAAGAGTGCAATTTGCCGGATCACATGCGCATGATGGTTCAACGATGGCTTTCCTCTGCATGCGAGCCAGAAAACACGTGGGTGTATCTTTCTTTAGGGGAGCCCCGTGCAAGAAAAAGAATGGTGGTTTTCCTGTTGGTTGTCCTTCGAAACCACCCAAAAAATGCGTACCCTCAAAAAAGGGACAGACCCACATACGGGGCACCGAAAGGCGTCACGGGGACGGGATCTCGCGCCTGCCCACTCTCGTTGCCGCGGCTGCCACGGCAGCTTGGGATGCCACTCGGGCTCCTCTCTCGCTCATCCCTCAAAGCAGAAGATACGGTAGATGGACGAAATTCTGCACCACTTTGAAACCAACGGAAACCATCATGTGTTGGTATTTACAGGGGAGCCAGGGTTTCATAGGTGTAGGATTTTGTCCGCCAGCATGGCCAAAGCAACTCGACAAACCTGGTGATTGCCCGGGCGGTTTTTCGGGATTAGCCATAGGGGGTTGACCAATCATGGGTCTCGACAAGCCCCCTATGGTTCAGCCCTACTATAACAGACCCCAATCGGCCTTCTGAGGCCCTATGCGGCGAGTGTCCACACCAAAAACGTTGATGCTCGATGGCTTTTGGTCTGGAACAAACGCAAGCCGCTTCTCAACTGCACCTTTCTTGGCTGCGAAAAGAAACACAACGCCACTGAAACAGACATAGAGTCTCAATAAAATAGGCCCGCACGAAGCGGGCTGTAGTATTCAGGGAAGTACGCTCACGCAATCTTATCTTGCTGGCACTCCAGTCCGAATTGATTGTTTTGGCATACGCTTCCTCCGGTCGTCTCCATGTTTGAAGGAAGTGGGCGCATGCTGTTTGCCAAGCAGAGGGGCACTCGCAAAATCCAACACCACATTGAGCATGTTCGTACACATGCAGTGTATCACGACAACAGAATGCACACATCACATGTCTGGGCGACTCAGAATTCTTAGCCAACCGAAAATAGGTAACGCGACTGTCATCAAGGCAAGGTCGCAAACTACATTCGCGAGGTCGCAAAAATAATGCCAAGCATTGCTCAACAACATATCAACTGTCACACAAAACTTGTCTCCCAGACACGAAGGGAGCTGCGTTTAAGGCGATCCAGAACAATGTTTGCCTATTCGTGCTGCTCTAGTTTGCTTGTGTTTCTTGCGCGTTGGTCAGGATCTGATCCGCGGCTCAAGCCGGCCACATGGCACATGGAAGCTGTCGACTGACCTTCGGGAGATCTTCCGAACCTTGCGGCAAGCGCAGGCCCGTTGCATTCCCACCGAAGCTGGGGCTGCTTCCCAGAGGTCCCATAGAAGAAATTCACCGAGTGAGAACATGTTGGGCAACCTCGTAGACCCTTCCGGCTTGGGTGAGCAACCCTGCATGCATTTTAATGAACCTCGCTTCCCAAAACCTGCCGTATTCACCCTGGATGTCGAGTGTGTCGCTTTTGAGGGTACACTGGTTGCAGTAGGAAGGGGAAACCAAACGAAAACGGAGAACAAACCAAAGGCTACGGCATCCCCCGGGCTCCTCGGATGCCTCTGTCCGCGCCTTTTCCTCAGGAAACTTCTGGTACCAGTCCTGCGCTATCAAGCGTGTCCCCGTCCCCAAGAACTCGATCCCTCGTCTCATGCCCGGAGGTAAGCCTTTGCTTTGCAAATTGAAGGGTGCTTGACCAGAATCCTTTGCTCGCCGGCCGTCTGTCCCTGCCTCGGTTCACCTGCCATTCTTTCAAACTGCCATGTCCTTTCCTTCTTTGCTTGTTTCCTTTCAAAAAAACACCTCCCAACCAGTCCTCAACCACTCCCAACACCTCCGCATATATAACCAGTGCTCACACCACTCCTTTCCTCGGTTTCCTTAAAAAAACATGAGAAATCGTGGATGGGATGGGATCCCAACAACCTTGGTTGACATTGGAAGGGGAGCAAAAGTTTAGTTTTTAGCAGTTCAGTGGGGGATTTACCACTAAACCACAATAAATGTAAAACGTTTCCGAACAACAACCCCATTGAACCACATTGAACCCATCAGCCAACCTGCCACGAGACCCGTCCACCCGGCACCGGATGGCCTTGGCTCGTGGCCTGGGCCGAAAGAGATCCTGCGAGTCGCACCTCAGCGCGGCGATGAAGAGGGAAAATGCAAGCCAGTCAAGAAACACATATACATGTATGTGTATACATATATATATATATATAACATATACAGGCAGAAGAGAAAGCAAGCAAGCAAGCAAGCAAGCAAGCAAGCAAGCAAGCAAGCAAGCAAGCAAGCAAGCAAGCAAGCAAGCAAGCAAGCAAGCAAGCAAGCCAGCCACCCACCCACCCACCCACCCACCCACCCACCCACCCACCCACCCACCCACCCATCCACCCACCCACCCACCCACCCACCCACCCACCCACCCACCCATCCATCCACCCACCCACCCACCCACCCACCCACCCACCCACCCACCCACCCACCCCCACCAAGCAAACAAAGAAACAAACAAACTTTCGAAACATGAGAACAACTGCTGCGTCAGAAACAAGAAAACAGAACAAAAAAAATCAAGCCAAACGAGAAAAAGGACGAACATCAAAACTGACTTTCACTCCGGGCGCCCGCACTCCTCGCTCGGCTCTGCTTCCGAAGGAAGGTCCCTGTGGGCTCGCGCTGCGGAATGGGGGGTCCCAGGCACTTAGAGAATCCAGGGCGCCAGCAGACTGGAAGGCACTGAACGTTAGCTGTGCCCGGCTTGCTATCCATCTTTTGTTGCCCCGCAATAGGGTGGGGCATACAAATCAAACAATGAGCAACGGAGTTGAGACGGTGTCCCTTGCTGTTCCCTACCCAGAAGTGTCTGACATTCAGTGCGAGTGTCAGGGTCTCCCAATGACTCCAGCGACTTCCGGGCAGTTTGGCGCCGAGCCGCTCAGCGGGGATCTTGTTCTTCTTCTGCTTCTGCAGGCCCCTCTCGCCGTCCATGGCCCGCGAAATGCGATTTGCGCGCGATGAAAAATAAGACACGCGCCACACGGTCGAGCTGAAGGCGCCTGGCTGGCAGGCTGGGGGGCGGGGTGGTCGGAGTCGCTGGCTTCATCGGAGCGATCTGTGCCGAATCAAGCGAAAACTTAGAGATTCGGAGAGCCGAAAGGAATGGAACGCCTTCGGGTTTTTGTTGGTTGGTGCGACCTCGCTTGTGCCTCAGAGCCGCGGCGCGGGCGCGAGCTGACATCCTATGTAAAAAGGAAAGCTAAAGCCGGGTCTCAGGGCGCAGTTTCCGGAGAGCTTGGCTGTGAATTGCCAAGGAATCAATCCGAAGCCACAAAAGCGCAAGCTTCTGCTGATCTCTGGTAAGTCTATGGTGGTCGAGGAAAGCCGCTCAGCGCCCGGACCGGCCAACAAGCCCTGCTGAAAGCAGTTGCGGAAGTCCTGGCCAACTCTTCTCAAGCCATCTTCGAGCTTGGGGGACGGTCAGCATTGGCTGGACGTATGTGTGTGGGTGTGTGCTTCACGTACAATAGCTTGCCATACTATCACGGACTTGTTCAAGCTGCCATGTAATTAAATTGATTGGTGTTGCAAGTCCGCATCGGAAAAATGCCCCTGCGTGGTGCAGGAATATTGAAAGTTGTCATGCCGGTGATGCTGGCGATGCCGGTGATGCCAATAACGCGGACAATGCCAATGATGCTGGTAATGCAGTTGATGCGGACAAGACAGTCTGCCGCATTTTCCCTCGTTCCAAAAGCGTCAACTGCACTGCCAGCATCCCCGGCATCACAAGCATCGCGACTTGGCAAAAAAATCAACGCATCATCACCCAGAGCCATGAATTGGATCTAGCATACCTTGCATGTTCATCACTGCAGGCAGTCCCCCGTCAATTTTTTGCATAGGCCTTAGTGAGCCCACTATGAGTTTCAAGGCAAAGCTTTGAAAGAAAAGCAACCAACTAACATCAACACGGAAGCTGCCACGGGGCCGGTCCCACGCGACGCCGGCGCTGTCGCGCCAATTCCAAAAGAAGAAGCCGTGCGAGGCCTCAGGACTGCGTCCTTCAACTGCGTTGGTCCAACATGGTCAGAGGGCAGCGCATGCCGTTGTCAGACCCACTCATCCAAAAGAGATCCCATCTCAACCGCTAGGTCAAACGTCCACAGTCTGTGTGTGAAGTCCAAATCAGGTTGCTCCATGCCTATCCAAAGCCAGCCCAATCAAACAATCTGAGCAACCTAAGCAGACAATCCTGAAGCCAAGCCAGGCCACAGAACAACTGCCAAACCTGCAGCCAGACCCCAGCAAAGCCACCCTCTCTCCACTGGCACGAAAGGTCCAAATCTAGTATCAGTTTCTCCACCTTTCCGCAGCTGGGTTTGCCTTCTCAAGTCAACCAGTCGGGTGTCTTTCCTCGGGAGGCTAGGAATTTGGGCTTCGATGCGGTTGAATGGCCCGATAGGACGCTACATGCGACGGCAAGATCTGCCCGTGCAAATGTCTGTCACGCGGGTTTCAGCACATGTGCCGCAAGGACGCTGACACCCTTGGTGTGTGAACACGACGCATCTCAAATTCAGCTCACCTGACCTCCATTCGTCAGGTTCCACAACGTGGTGGGAGGGAGGGAGGGTCCACCCATCCATCCAGCCAATTCATCTACCCTTCCTCAACACAGTAACATGACACCTATCAGAAGGCATCTGAAAGATCAAATTCTTTGGAGGGACCCTCTGTCGGGTGCCATGTTTGTGGGAGAGAGGATATCTGTGTTTAGAATTCACCAAATCAGAAAATTGGCTAAAGGATCCTCCATGGGTGAAACCGCTCGCAAGCCCAAACCTTTGCATCGATCGCTCTGCCCAGACCCGTCCCAGCCCAACATGTACGCTCAGCCAAAGAGCCGATGCGTAGGCAGCCAACTGTTGCCGCGCGAAGAGGCCCATGGCCTCTCCAAGAAACATGAATCCAAAAACAACTGTCATGTCTGGTTCCCGTGTTGCCACCCTCCACTCAAACTCGATTGGACCTTCCTTTGCGATTGGTCCAAGAATGGAAACGCAAAGTAAGCCCATGATTCAAAGCCCAACCAGTTTTGGATTGAATGAATCTTCTCTGCCGTTACAACGTCCAACTGCTACTCACAAAAGCCGAGAATCTGCCGTCCGTCTGTCACCCATTTGCTGCCCGCAAAACTGTGAATGTTTCGCAAAAGAGGAAAACCTCATGGTTGGTTTCCGTTTGGTTTCTCTTAACACCCACTGGAATGGTTGAAGTCAAAACACTCCTCTCGGTTCCACCTTTGTGCTCCAGTAGACAGCACAGCAGTGGGTGTTTCCAAATACGCAAACCATTTCCGTTTTGATGCTTCTAAAAAGAAACCGCAGAAAGCTGACAAGTCGCCAGGGAAGATTGCCCCGAATTGAAGCAAGACCCAGGGACCCATGTGTGCCATGGTCACCTCATGTGGGCCTTGGTCATGACTTGCTTGGCCTAAAACCCCTTCAAGCGGTTGACCAGCCCCACCGACCCAGGGTGTCAGACCGTGGCACATGTGTCAAAACCAGGAGGTCCTTTCCATGCTTGGCGCGAAACAGCACATTTCTATCCACGAATTCACATCCTACACAACCTGTTTTTGACTTGGTGAACCCAGCCAGAGAATCCATGGTTGGGAAAAGCAGCGTGCATGTCTTGGTTGGTGCTTGGTTGCTCGTGACCTCTTTTTTGTTCCATTAAACTTCACCTGAAAGATGACAGGTACACAGGTTACTATAAGTCCGAAAGCTGACTTAAGGGATCCCTTTCCTTTCGGTGAGCCTCGTCCGGGTGACACGCTCAGCTGAATTTTCAGGGATCTTCGAGTATAGGACTTTATATCAGGACCTCGTACCCCCGGATCGAATGAGCTCGCCTTTCGGCAAACATGATCCCAACATGGGTGTGGGTCAAAATTAAACCACCAAGGGACCGCAGGTTTTCGTCTATGTTTCCATTTACCAGGGTTCCATTTGCAGGTGCCCATCCTTGACCAGCCAGTTGAACGAAAGCCTCGTCCAGTGCCCATTGCGCGCTCTTCCGAGTTCCCTCTTTTTTTTTGGCCCACAGCCTTATTTGTGCCCCTTTTTGTTTTGGGGCCCCTATTTGTGCCCAGCCATCTTGGGATCCCCCCGCGCTTCGGGCTGCGCGCTGCGCGCTTCGGGCTGCGGGGCTTCGCTCGCCTGCTGCGAGGGCAGCTCCGTCTGGGCGCGGCCGCCGAGAGCCAGGCTCCACTCCCCGACCACCGCGGGGAACCTTCCGGTAAGGGCGAGGGCGAAAGCGCTGCAACGTGATTCTGAAAAATGTGGTTCACATGTTAATCTATATATATATATATGTGATAGAGAGAGAGAGAGACAACAAAAAGAACAAGAATGAGAGGAAGGAAGGAAGAATGAGAGGAAGGAAGGATAGAGAATTGCCATGTGCCATCCTACTTTCCAACATCACAGCACTTCGTGTCTTGTCTTTATACAGGCTTTGGGCGCGCAAACAGAAAGGGGCCTGATATATTGCATGCTTTGGCTCAGCAAGGAGCGCTTACACATGCTAAGGTTGCACATGTCGCGGAAAAAGAAAAAGAAAAAAAAAGGACCAGGGGCACGCTTTGGAGATGCATATCCGCCCACGCAACTCAAAGCTCATCCCCAAAGCTGCGCCAAAGTTCTCCTGTTGCACCGATTTCGTTTGGAAGCAGACCCTTGAGCAAGGTCCTCAGAGGTCCCGTGGGCACCTTGGGCGGGGGGGGGGGGGGAACTTGAAACATCGCCTCCCTGCCAACCCCGAAGTGACCCACACCCGGAATCGACCCGTCTCCGAAAACGCGGCCTCTGCAGCTCCTCTCGATTCTCTTCCACCGCCCGGAGGTGCTGGCCGGTCGCTGGCTGTGCGAGTTTGCAATAGGGGTATTGCTGTGAGTCAAACTTGACCGCAAACTGTGCATCGCTCATCGAAAGAATGTCTCGAGCGCTCCCGGTGTCCGCAATCCATGGGATGTGTGATGCATTAGCGGGAACTCTCGCGACAATGGCTCGCATCAAAAATAAGGGAATGACGCCTATAAGTCATCCTATGGTTTCCTTTAAGCGAAACCCCTTCCGGTTCATACCCAACTCCCGGACTTGGCAATTCCCTACCTATCGCACCAGCAAGCCAATCTCGGTTTGGGGAAGCCAATGCATCTGTATCGCCTTGACTCTGACTACCAACATGGTACACACAGGCCTTTCCCTGAACCACTTGAAGCCAGACACTAGCAGCTAAATGGCCAATGGGGGTTTCGCTACCTGCAGAAGCCAAAGGATATCTCAAGGTTATGGAAGGGTTGTACGTATAAGGATTCTGCAAGGGCGGCAGGCATATTTGGCTGCTGCAGTAACCGGATAACTCAAGAGCCGCGGCATATGTTTCATGCGGCTGCGCTGCGATCTGTTTTTAGGGTGAAACTTGTGAACATCAAGTAACATCAACGCGATGCTTTCTTGGCACAGGAAAGGAATCCAAAGCAGCAATGCAGTTTGGGGCGTGTGCGTGTTCTGCTGGTTTGGGGGGCACTTCCGGGGTCAGCTGGGGTTGGTGAACAAGCATGAGCTGCTTTAGAAATACTTGGTTGGGAAGCTGGTGATAAGAGCCTCACAATTCCTGACTGCTGAGCCAGCGCGGCAATTTGGATTGATCCCATGAGCCCGTGCCAAAAAGGCGTTTTGGGGGGGGGTAGATAGGAAGCTCTTGGAACTTTCACACACGCTTATGCTTCTGTGATGAGCCTGTACATGGGACGCCCTTCGCCCCTCAAAGCTGCGAGACGGATGCACAAACGCCGTGCCTCTGCCAAGGTCTTTCGGTTCCACTCGTCCTCAAAGCAGTGGTAGTAGTGGACCTGAAAAACGCCGAACTGATTTGAGGCATAGGAGTTCAAGTCTTCCCTCAACTCGGAGGGCTGCTTTGAGGCCGCCCAAGGTTTGGTTTGCCCCCTCCCCAAAGTCCCCCCCCAGTTAAGTGATCCGGGGACGCCGGCGTCGAAGCAGAAGTTCTCGTGGCGCCCGCCCGAGATGCGCTGCCACCTGACTGAACAGACAGCATCGGCCTACCCTCGGAGAAAAAAAAAAAACTGGTCTTCGGCCCGAAGCTGCCAGGCTGTGGGGTTCATGGTGAGTTTCTTTTGGGGCGTTTTGACCAGGGGCTGGGAGTCGGGAGGCACGTGCGGGTGCGGAAAGATTCAGGCTTGGGGTCATTTAAGTTTAAAACTCTCCAGTCTCTGAGACTGTGCATTGACTCACAGGCAGATGCCTGAATAAACACGAAGTGGGGATTCCTTTCTTCCAGCATGGGCTTGCCTGCCCTCTCCACTGCCCTCCAATTGCACACTGGGTGCCCCAGCGTCTCCGCGAACCTTGGGGCCAGGGTCGAACCGTGGAGGGTTGATGCTTACAAAACAGGTAGACCAACCCAAGTCTTCCTGTGTGCCTTCGGCCTACCATAAATCGGGCAGGTCAGCTAGATGTGAAGCTCCTGGAAAATTCCAGTGGGGGCGGGCACCTTTGGTTTAAACATTCGTGCACTGGACGCATTTCAAGGGAAACTGAAGGAGATTGCTCAACAGGCCTAGACAAGTCTCAACCAGTGGCAACGGCCGACTGGTGTAGAGAGAACTCTCCCTTCGGGCTGCGAGCTGTTGGCTGGCTGGGCAAAAGGCAGGCGAATTGTACAAAATGGTGGCCCCCTTCTGGAATACAAGGTGTTGATTCCCTTTGGCGATCACAGAAATGGCAACCTCAAACCAAGTTATCCGCACAGCCCTATCCCGCGTTGCCTCATCCGAACTCACCAAATCCCATCGCAGCGTGTTCAAATATCTCGTAACCCGAGGTCGCCTTCCCGACATCCGAACCTGGACTAGCCCTTCACACCTTCCAGTCCGCCTGATCCAACCCTTTGGCAGAGTCTCCGAGGCTAGCAAGTGACCAAGGAGCTTCTGTCATGTTGTTTTTGTTCTTCCTTTTGTTATGTTTTGTCGTGCAACGTTTAGGGAATCAACTGCCCCACTTTCAATCGTTGGTTGTGCAGGCCGATACCGCGCGGAAAGGCCCTCACACACCAGCTCCAGAGCTCCCGGGTTCCCGGCTCCGGAACGCTCCGCTGGAAGACGGGGAGGACCACTGTGACCTGGCAATGCTACGGATTACTGAAACATAGAGCGAGTCAACCACCATCCACTGTTATTCTCATCAGACTGGAGGTGTGCGAGAGTTGCATCATGAGCAGTACCTAGAAATGTCAGGAGTAGCAGCTAAGCAACATCTCAGAGACTTCTCTCTTCAGAGCACAAGGCAAACAAGCTAAGAGAATCCTGTGGCCTTCCAAATCTCCCCCCAGATCGGTTGCATGGAAAGTGGGACAATGCTAAACCCAGGACCCTTCGCCCGCCCGGTCCACGCTCCAACTTTTCGTCTCGTTTCCGGCACCCCTCCGAATGCTGACGGCGCTTGTAGCCGTCGGAGAAACCGGTTGCTCGCGGCGCCTATGCGGCGATTGGACGCCTGGCCACTCCACAAATTGACGTGGAGCTTGAACCATGAAGGGGAACGCAGACCAGTCGCGTGTCCACTCCAGCTGGAGCGTTCTTGAGCTTTGGACCTCTTTGCGATAGGTAGAAATGGGTGTAGGTCAAAATTAAAACACCAGCGGACCGCAAGGTTCTTCCATTTATACCAAAGTTCCATTTCGGGTACGCATCTTTGACCAGCCAGTTGAATGAAGAAAGCCTCGTCAAATGCCCCGCGCGCTCTTCCGCGTGCCCCGAAGTGCGTCACACGTGACCGAGGCGGTAAGAGGCGGAGACCTGGGTGCCGCCCTTTGCGAGCTTGGTGACGGTGCCAACCTCAAAACTCTCGGAGTGCGCCGCAAGTGCGAGGGAGGTAAGTGGATCTTGCTTTGAAACAAATGTGTGTCAGGGTGGTTGGGGAATTACAGTAGTGAGCCTCAAGCTTCGTATGTTCCTGTCAGAACCAAGGGACCTCCAAGCATGTACGAATCTTCTGGAGAAAGGAGAGGAGGAGTGCCGTGACAAGAGCATTCGTTGGTCGACATGGTTGACCCTGGAAAGCCTGGCACAAATTCCTTTCTGACCTCGCTCGCTGGGAACCCCCTTCTTGCGAACCTGAGTCAACCATCCCTCAAACCTGTCACGAACCAGTATGATCTTGAGACAAAACAAAAAAGAACAAAACATGCAACTTGTTCGACACGGCTGATAAACATCTGTACCTTCCACCTGGACCTTCTGCCCCCCTTTGAACGCCATGGCTGTGGCCAGCTGGCCGCCACCAAGGCTGTAGCTGGCCTGACGCCAGCGAACCCCGGAGGAACGTGGGGCAAAATCAAAAGTAGAACCCCGGAACGGTTGGCTTGGTGGGCTTTGATGTTTTTCTTCAAAGCCTTCATCAGAAAGGGTACTCAAGAAAACAGAAAGACTTCGGCCGGCACCCGGTTGGTGGCTCTTTCTTTGCTTCCTGGTCCAAACGACAGCCACAATGTCTCTAGCGGAGCCTTTCATTACTCCAATCCACCAACTTGACCCGTGCTATGGGTGAATGCGAGCAGCCACAACACGCAAAGGAGCGAAGCCCTTGGCTGACAGCAAAACAAAACCGAACTAAAGTTTGCAAACTGTACTATGATCCAAGTGGAAATGACTGCAAACAAAAATCCGGGTATGAGTGGAACGAAGCCTCGAATGAGTGGGCAATTATGCTCGGTGGAAACTAAACTTGAAAGAGACCTCGTGACAATTTTTAGCCCCGCACATCAGATCTGTCCGGTCGCCTCCGCGCTGGTAGAGATCAACGGCTTCGGCCGCCTGATTCGAACACATCAGTCACACCCATCGGCAACTTAGGGTGGCATGGATCACACAGCCCTAATTTACCCAAACCGCAAAAAGACGTGCAAACGGAAGGTCTGCAGAAAAGTCGCCGAATGACCGGAAGTGGACTACAACTGGAAACATACAAAGGTTCCCACCTCGCTACTCCCTCTGGGTGCCTCGGTCTGCGGCCGTGCATGCCCAAGTGCGAACTATTCAAGGGCCTGTTTTGCTCGATTGGAGACTATGGAGACTTGGCCGTGAAAGCTCCACTCCAAAACCCAGACCTGAAACATTCACTCAGCCTTCTCTAGGGTTTTTCTGCATGTCCAACCTATCAACCCAAAAAGAAACCCGCTTGAAATCAATGTGTGTTGGTAGGTTGTTGATAGGTTGGGAAACCCAAGTGACGGTGAGGGAACCCAAAAGCGCGCGACGAGGTTTGCCAAGTCGAGCCCATCCGCACCGCCCGCCTCTGCGCTTGAGCAAGGCGCAATCTCAGCGCGAGGTCCAGGTCCTGCCGGGACCAAGCTGGGTCTGCAGGGCGCTTTGCCGTGGCCTTTTGTTGGTCTTCTTTTTGCTGAGGTCCCAGAAATGTGGGTTCTCCTAAAACTGAACCCTTTTCCCCGCATGACAACTTACCAAACTAACCCGTGTTACGCCAGGTTTATTCCTGCTTATAACTCTCTACCCCCCCCAACTACACAACAGAAGGAACTGCAGGAGGAAATCATCGCCCCTCCCCTGCTGGAAAAGAACTAAGAGTCTCTCACTCATTTGTTTGCTGAAAAAGCTCCTTTCCCGCTGACAAGGATGGATTCAACATGGAACCTGACAAACCCAGGAATGATCCAGGCCGTCTGGGGTGAACTGGTCAACTCCACGAAGTTTCATGGAAACGGAGGCAAGGAGAGCAAATCCAAGGACTCTGAGTAACCCATAAAGAGCGACCCTTCACACATGACGTTGGTTTGGCCCAGGGTGGCTATGTGAGGTTCTTGCAAGTGTGGGTTGCTTCCAGTTGCTTTATGTTGCTTTACGACAACCCGCCATCTGCCCAAAACCAGCTTGACATGTGACATCCTCCCTCCCCCCCCGAACAAAAGAAACAAACTTTTTGGTTCGCAAGCGGCCTCGCCGCAGGGCTGTCGCAGCTCCGTCTCGGCGGCCCGGTCGCCGGTGGTACTTGCCATGGCGCTCACCGACTCGGCGCGGGGGATCGAAGCGACCGGACGCACGGAACGAAAGGGACGGACGGAGGACGGAGCCTCTCCGAAATGAGTGCGCCCCGCTTCTTTTTTTGGGGGGGGCAGGGGGTTGCCAAGGAACTCAACCTTCTAACACACCCGAATGAACGTCCCCTAAAACTTTGGCTGGCCTACAAGTACTGATACGCTGACCTCCTGAGCTGATAGGCACAATATCGTATGAACACGCTGCGTCACCACGTCTAGAAACAACAAGAAACAAAAGGCGTGGAAATGATTGTTGACAGCGCCGTACTGGAAAGCATCGACGACTGCCAAGGCTTTACATTACATGACTCACATGACCATGACCTCAGGGCAAGTGGAAGACTCTGAGATAGATATTCCTGCAAAGATTTTCACTACGCGCCTTTTTAGACCATAAGCTGCGCTGTGAAAGAAAAGAGGACCCCGGAAAGAACTGCGTTGCTTGTCAACGGATCCCGTAGTTGAGTTGCGGTTGGGTTACCGGAATATAGAGGCGCTGCAACAAGTGTAGCAAGTATGCTGCGCGTGGCACAGTCCCTCAACCCAGCGGCTTTCTTAATTCTACTGAAAACCCCACACAACAAACAGGAAAAAGGAAGCTGGGAATCAACACAAATATTTTGGAGGGTCACAGGGTCACAAAAAGGACTGAACTCGTCCCTTTTTCGACTCATTTCGCCCGACCTTTCGTCAAATTGTGATTAAACCCCAAAAACATGTTTGCTCCAAACTTTTCGATCCGCATAACGTGTCCGCATAGCTTCAGCATCGCCAAGAGAAGCTCATCCGCACAACACAAACATCATACACAACCCGAACCTGTGGGCTTCTGACTGACTGATGGCACATGCAGCACAAACCCTGACAAGGTGACACCAATCGGCCGAGTCTGCACGTTCTGAATAGCTTCCAAGGGAATGCCGGAAAGGCCTCTGCAAAAAGCCACACTGACACGCGGGAAAACTGACTGGCGTTTTCGCCAAAAGGGCACCCACGGCCTGGCTTTCGAGGTTTCAACCAACTGCAAAACTAAGTAGCTATGCGGCTGTCAGCCTCAATCCAGGGGCAATCCTGAAGAATTCCCGGCCCACACCCACAATCGAGAGCTCATGACTGCCACCAGTGACCATTGACAGAAAATCATCAAATCATCGGCACTCAAGCAGCCTCAACTCATAGCGCACAGTGCTTAATTAAGTTTGTGATTGAAGGTGTTTGCACCATTGCGCAGCCAGCCTCCCTTTTCAACACAAAAGCTCAGACAGTTCTTGTGCGGAAAAACGGGGCTGGGCAACACCCCCAGCATCATCAGCATCACCAGCAACGCCCAGCAATGCCACTTGCGGCCACTTGCGACCACTTGCAGCCACTTGCAGCCACTTGCAGCGACTTGCAGCCACTCGAGCGGCTGCAAGTGGCTGCAAGTGTCCCAACTCAATTCACAAACCGCAGGTGACCTCAATGGAACTCCCCTTTTGGTGCGAAACCAAAGGGAAAAGCATAACCGTTTTGAAGTAGAAACGCCACAAACCCTAAACGGTGAGAAAGGCCATGTACCGATGTAAATGGTGTCGCTGGCGTTTATAAGGCTTGGGTTGCGCAGAGTCCCAAGCAAGGGGAGGAGATGAACGCCCCCACCGCAGCACTGGAGAAGATTGGCAAATAAGTTACCGAGCTGCCAATCAAACAAAGTGAACTACTTGAGGCGTACCAACTCCTCGGATCAAAAAGTAAGGACTGGGTATCTTTGTGGTAACATGGGGTTGAAGGCCCGAAACCTTGGAGCACATGTTTTGCATCTCGAACTCGCAACTTTGTTCAGTGGCATTTGAAGAATTTGACCTTTGATTTGCAGATTTCGAGCTTTATCACTGCTCGAAGCTTTCCTTCGGCAAAACATGCCCCCCACTAGGGAAGTTCCTTTCTAAAACGATGGGTTTTGGCGCGACGCATGGATTGTATACACATTTAAGAGTCAGACATATGGGGTTGCGCTTGTTTGCGTGTTGGATTCAGGGTTCACCCCAAAAGAGGGGGTCATTTCAACCCCCCCCACCCCCCCCAGC